GACCTGGAGAGGAAAGGTCTAATTCCGCTGCTGCTGTCCCGAGTGGTGGCGGGCCTTTCCCGGGATGTGAAGGGTGTGTGGGGAGGTGAGTGGCGGACAGAAGCGGTGGAAGGAAGCAGGGGACCCGAGATAGTGTAGGTGACCTGGGGCCACCCGCGCAGACACATCCGTTCCCTGGCCTGGCTTGTGGCCCTGACTGCCGGGACAAATCAATCCCATTGGGTCTTGAGAAATGTAAACTGCTTTTTTCTGTGGGGCAAAAGCGAGTGCATCCAAGGGTCTCTCGAGGAACAGATTCCACGGTAGGCATCGGTTTTATAATGAAACAATCCATTTCGGTGACCTCCAGTGGCTTCCAGAGACTTTATTCATCCATTCATTCTGAGCACCCACCGAGGACCCCGCGCCCAAGGGCTATTGGCGGGAGGTGGCCTCGGTCCGATGCTTGCCCCCAAGTCCGTCAGCCTTCCTAGGCTAGCCAAGCCCCTGCACTCTGTTGTCCAGACCCCTTCTCTGTCCTCAGAAATGGAGGATTACACTGCTAGAGACGTGACGGGGCTTGCTGGGGGAGTGTTGGGAGACGAAGGAGGGAGTGAGGAGACAGAGAAATAAAAGAGATGAGGGAGGTGAGAAAAGGGGGGCGATAGAAACAGAAAAAGATACAGAGCGCGATTCAGGAGGGAGCTGGAAGGAATGGACTTTCCTCTCTCCCACTCAACCCACATCCGTTCACGCACAGACGGTGCGCACCAGAGTCGTGTTGGGTGGATATCGGCCATCCCCAGGCCAAGTCTTTAGGTCACCTTTGACTTCAGTGCTTCCCGAGGCTGGGCCATGAGAGACACAGCTCCATGGGGCAAGGCAGCAAGAAGTCGGGGACGCCCGGGTGGGCCTTGGGGCATCAGGGCAGGGTCAAGGCGCTGCTGACCGGTGTACCCTCCTCCCCCGCAGCGTACCTGGTGCAGGCCGTGAGAGCAGCGGGCAAGTGCGATGCGGTCTTTAAGGGCTTTTCGGACTGTTTGCTCAAGCTGGGCGACAGTATGGCCAACTACCCGCAGGGCTTGGACGACAAGACGAACATCAAGACCGTGTGCACGTAAGTGTCCTCTCTGGTCCGCTGGGGTTCTCTTCTGGGGGCGCTGCTGAGGTCAGAGTGCCGCGCCTCCCTGCCTGAGCTCAGCGTACAGTGCCAGAGTAAATCTGCGCACTCTCGCCTTCTGGCTCTCACCCCCAGGCCCAGGCCTACGGACAAGCCCTCTGGTCCCTAGGCCCAGCCCTCTGGTTTAGGAAACTCCAGAGCCTGGGGTGGACTACAAAGAAAAAACTCCCACAGCGGCCTGGTCCCAGCTCCAAGCAGCCTCACGGGCTCACAATGAGGTGCATGCACCCAGTCCACCTGAGAGAAGGCCTGGGGCAAGGAACCCTGCTACCAGTTCCTCATTCCGCAGAATCTCTGCTTTGAGGCAAACTTTAATTATTACCTCTCTCAAGGATAAGTGACCTGCTGAATACCCTGAACAGTTGGTTTGGGTTTGAGGACCTTTGGGAGGTAATTCTAGATTTACCTAGAGGCTATAGTCACTGGCCTATTATCTCCACTTTCAGTGATATATGGCCCTTTCAAAACACACCAAGAAAATGCAGTGCAAGCAAGGAGGCCCTGGCTTCCAGTTTCTGGGAGAAGGGCTGAAATAATATTTTATTGTGTAGCAATGACTGCCCAAGAGGAGAATGTCTGGGCTGTCTGGTGACTGTGCTAAGTTTGTAGTCCTTTCCTAAGCTAGAGGTAGCCATCCTCCATGCTTTTCCCACCCCTTCCCCTATCTGCACTGTCTCCTCAGATTGCCGAAGGCGCAGGCCCAAAGGAAGGGGAGAGAGACTTCATGGCCAGGCCCAGAGGTGTTTTCTCAGAGATTAGCTAGAAAGTCTGCTCCCACTAGCAAATGAGGTAACCAGCACAGCACTGTTACAGCGGACCTGGGACATTAGAAATTTGCTGTAGACCTTAGAAATTTCCCCAACCTCTGCAACAGACACTGCCTTTATTTTTTTCAAAAACAGCTGCTTTCTGCCACCTCTATAATGACCCTTCCGATACAGTCAAGGCAAGAGGTATCCCTTATTCCCAGACATTGAAATGACCATTTTCCAGGCTTTTCTTTTTATACTGTGAAGAAGTCTTCTCTCCCTAACTGGGAAGAGTTTATTTCAATTACAACTGAATGAAGGTCAATCATGCTACATACTTCCCTGAATACCCTATTGCCCACCTGGAGCCACAGCAGCTAAGTGGCTGGTACCTTCTTATCAGAGTAGGAACAAATACTTAATTCCAAATGTCTGGTTAAAAGTAAGAATGTATCTCCTAAGGCATGCCAAGGTTACATATAAAGGAATTACCAATGCTTCTGCCATTTTCTGGAACTTTCAAGCTATTTAAATATTTTAGCAGGACTTTGGTCCTGGAAAACCTGGAGTGAGAAGGCCCCTCCCTGAGGTTGCAGGCCATAGTTGGTCCCAGGCCTCATTCACTTGGTGGTGCTAATTGATCAACAGGATAAAGTGCACCTCTCCCAGCTTCCAAGTGAATTTTTTTTTTTTCTCTAGGAGTGTCCCTCTTCTAGGAAAGCCCTATCCCCATCTTGGGGTACATAAAGAAAGCAGTAATTTAGAAATCCTTTGGGAGGTGAAATTACACAGGAGCTCCACAGGAGAGCTGTCCCTGGGCTTCTTGGTGTGCCAAAATCTTGCTATGTATTACAATCCTGAAAGTCCTACACCCTGCCCTCCTTAGTCCTCATAAACTAGAGACTCAACAGGGGTCATGAGAAGACAGTCTGAACCAAGGCAACCCAACAAACATTTATGACTTCCCTATTAGCCAGAAGATGGGGTGGGAGTGCAAATAAGGATAAATCAGACACTATGGTTGCCTTCAACATGCTTACGGTCCAGGCGGGCCACAGAAGAGGGAGAGAACCAAACTGCCGGGAGGGCTGCTGCTGTTTTCTCTGACTCCCAGGGCCGGGGTGAAGTGGGAGCCAGCCTGGAGTTACCGAGACACACAGATCGACCCAGCTCCGAAAGGAGACAGCGCCCCAGGAATCGATCACGGCTTGGGATTATATTTAGTTTCAGGATCTATTTTGGGTTTTCAGAAGAAAGGGGAACAATAAAAAAAAAAAGAAAGAAAGAAAAAAAAAAGAAAGACAGGTTGGATGAAGGTTGTGGGGGCGGGGCTAGGAGCCCAGCCCAGCCTGGGAGGAGGAAGTGCTGTTAAAAGCTCTGCTGCGAGAAATGACCGGAAGGGGAGGACGAAGAGCCGGGTCCTAGAAGGCTGGCAACGGTGGGCATCGTTACACCCCGAAGGCGGTGGAGGCGAGGACCTCTGGGGTCTAAGCCCACCTGAAAGACTGGAAGAGGAAGCTTGCAGCGCGCAGGCCTGGGGCGCTGGGGGTTGCCAAAGCGGGAGAAGGCCCTGGAGCAGGCGCCAGGTGCCAGGCACTACCACTCACCGACCTGGGCAGGGCAGAGGCAGGCAGGCGTCTCTGGATGGAATCTGAGCCGCGGGACTGGGGAGGGCCAGGCGGGAGGGCCTCGGAGGACCCAAGCAAGTGGAGAGGCAGAGAAAGAGGAAGTAGGGGGACCGAAGAGAAGAAAAACGGAGGGAAGGGGAAACCGAAGAGAGGGAAAATGAGGAGAAACGGGAAACAAAAGGCGGAGGTGGGGGTGGGAGTGGGAGAGATGGAGGGCGAAGGCGAGAGTACCGCAGCGAGGAGGAGGGAGACAGAAGGGGCGAGGGGGAGGAGAATGTGAGAAGCCAAGAGGGGAGGGCCGTACCCGAGCAAGTAACCCATCTTGCAAGCTAAGAGGCATTAATGGGCGGCAGCTTGCAAGGCTTAGCACTGTTTTCCCAGCCTTCCCCAAGGAGGGCGAGCAATCTGTTGGCGAAGGCCGAGGTGTGCCAGCGCAGTTGCCGCGGGTGCAACCCGGCTGCCGAATCCGCCACAGGCGAGCTAGATGGGGAGCCACCTAGGTGAAGGGGCGCCCGAGCCGCTTTGACAGCGCTTCTGGCATGGGCCGAGGTCCGACGACGAGTCGCGACCTGGCTCAGCCCTAGAGCCAGGGCTGCGGGGAGCAGGTAGGAAGGGGCGCGCCCTGGCAGATGGGCGAGGAGGCTTCAGAGGGGGTCTCCGGGGCGCAGGTCCAGGGTCCTCCCCGCGCCCCCAAATGATCCTGCTTCTTCTGTTTTGTTCTGTTCCTCGCCAGATACTGGGAGGATTTCCACAGCTGCACGGTCACAGCCCTGACGGATTGCCAGGAAGGGGCGAAAGATATGTGGGATAAACTGAGAAAAGAATCCAAAAACCTCAACATCCAAGGCAGCTTATTCGAACTCTGCGGCAGCGGCAACGGGGCGGCGGGGCCCCTGCTCCCGACGCTCCCAGTTCTCCTGGTGTCTCTCTCGGCAGCTTTAGCGACCTGGCTCTCCTTCTAAGCCAGCTCCCCTCCGCGCCCACCCACACTCACTCCATGCTCCCGGAAATCGAGAGGAAGATCCATTCGTTCTTT